GCATAGTCCGCTAAGCGTTCCGTAGTGGGATAGGCAATAACACAAGGCCTAGGAACGCGCGCTTCAGTAGGTACCGGGCACGGAGCAGATTTAGGTGGTAATCGAAGCTTAAGTTTGTCCGCGTACGTTAAACTCGTTTTTTGAGTGGCGATACCCTCCATTTGTCGCTCAAAATTCGCTCACTTCGTTTCGTTGCTAGAGGATTTTATTGCTAACAAAGATACGATACCGGTAATTCGTTGAGTAATATCCATAATCGCCGTTTTATTACCTACATTCATCCGAGATCGTGTAGTGTAGTAGGATAAGAAGAGAGTACAGAAACTGACACTGCATTATCAATTTAATGTTATGGGTGCAGTTAATTAGGCCGTTCCATTGTTACCTGCCATGCATAGAAGTCATGAACTTCGCAACTAGAGGATTCGATCCCGGGATCCCGGATCTCGGGATCCCGGTCATATTTTAGTCCCGAAATTTTCGGGATCAAATTTAATGAACCCCGGGATTTTCGGGCTTGATACATTTTTTACATAAGTCACTAAAAATGTGCGTAAAAAGAAACGCACTTGCCTTGACTTGATGTTTTGACAGCCATCTTGTCTACACAGCTGATTTCATTTGTTTTTGCTAATTACCGCTTCTGGATTATGCGTAAAAGTGTGTAATTTATAAAGTTTCCAAACAATTTAATTAAAAAATATGAGTAGGTATCTATAAACATTGGTCTCTCAAGCATATAGTTTTTTTTTTTATAGTTTATCTAAATAAGTCTAAAGAAGTTGATTTTTTGAAGTTTATTGTTAGTTTCATAAATTATTTACCGCAACACAAAACAAACTAGGCACTAGTTTGTTTATTTTATGAGAAGTATAATTTTGATTAACCGCCTTTTTGGAGATTTAAAACTTAAATATTCTATGTCCTCACAAAACTATATGATAAACAAAAAAAAAATATTTTGATATGTTTTACTGTCTTTTTGTTACCACTTTCCATTGCCAATACAATCCCGGGACTATTCCGGGATCCCGAGATTAACTGTAGATAATCCCGAAATCCCGGGATTATAAAAATCGACCGGGATCGAATCCTCTATTCGCAACTAATTCCTACGCTACGGCTGCCTAGAAACTCTAGTTACGTAATCTTCAGAATATTGAAAATCTGTGAGTGGGTACACTTGCATTAAGATAATTATATATTAAGTCAGTGAGCCTCTGAGCACGGTCAGTGCAACCTGAGGCCTAAGTTTGAGTTTATTTCACATCTACTGAATCGTGTCGGTGACCGCGTTCGACGCTGCGATTGGCCCCCACTGAAATCTTTCTCTAATCGCAACGCCGAACGCACTCGTTGTCGAGAGCGAGTTGGTGTAAAATAAACTTGCACTAGGCCCTCTGATCGAAACGTCAGGCAATTCAAAGGTATGTACTTCATTCCTATCGTGAACGCATCAATTTCCGTAAACGATTTTTTTTTATTTAACTAGCTGTATCCTGCCACGCTTTGGCGTGGAGAAATAAGGAACAAAAGTAACACGAAAAATAAATAAAAACCATTTCTGAAGCGGGTTGTATATCGTGTCAAAATTTGAGCTCAATCGGTGCAGAAAGTTATAAGTTTTTAAAGCGTACACAAACCAACATAACAGTTATAGATATAGATTATACTCCTGATGACCCCTTTACTAATGATGTACTAAAAATGTGTTTTGTTATACTGTACGTTCTACTTGTAAAACGAATGTAATCAGTGATCATTTTAAACGGTTTATAAACCTTTTGCGGTGCGTAAACTTAAATTATAATTATGTTTTAATGAATGACTGTGACTGACTCTAGTTGACTCTTTAGCTGAATTTAGCTAAAATGTAGGTAGAATTAAATAACATTACATATTATATAAAACGTTACCTAAAGAACATAATAAATACAGTGCAACCTTAATACATCGTACCTCAATATAACGACTGCCTCGATTTAACAAATTCTTCGTAATCCCCTTGAGTTGTCCATAAGAATCAATGTAAAATATACCTTGCGCGCTTTGGTTGTCATAACTCTTACCGGTGGTAAACAGACAACAATTTATGACTTTTTTCTGATCAAGATGAACAAAATTAAGATTAAGCTACCATAACCACATTACCGGTGTGGGCAGCGGCTCTGACCAGCCAAAATAGAGCACGCCTTTGGCGTCCTCAGATTATATTGGCGGTTAGAGCCATATGTGGTTACCGCACCGAGTCGACGGAGGCAGCGTGCGCGTTGGCCGGAACTCCCCCGTGGGATTTGGAGGCGGAAGTGCTCGCCGAAGTATATCGGCGGACGACTGAGTTCCGGGCGCTTAGTGGCAGTCGGCCCCCGGCCGAAGAAGTACGTCGAGCCACTATGGCTCGTTGGTCGTCACGGCTAGAGGCTCCACGTGCTGGTATTGCCGCCGTTGAGGCGCTCCAGCCGGTTATCGTTGAATGGGCAGGGCGGCAGCACGGGACCCTTTCCTTTCGACTGACGCAGGTCCTTTTCGGGCACGGCTGCTTCGGGAAGTACCTGCACTCGGTCGCTAGGAGGGAACTGAGTCCTGCCTGTCGCTACTGCGATTGCGGTGAGGACTCGGCTCAGCACGCGCTGGCAATTTGTCCAGCTTGGGCGTCGCAGCGTTGGGTCCTCACTGCAGTCATTGGGGGAAATCTCTTTCTACCGGCCGTCATACGACGCTCCATGGCCGGGTAGTGACAGTTGTTTTACCGCGGTCGCATCCTTCTGCGAAGACGTTATCTTGAGGAGGCCGCGGAGAGAGCCCGGGAGGATAATCTCCACTCGGACCCAATTCGCCGCCGACGAACCGGGCGGCGGAGGCGCGCTTAATAGACCCCCATGCCGCCCTGAGTGTGGCCGCGGGTGCACGGGACGGGTTTTCCCCTCCACCCGTCATAACGGCCGGCCGCGAGGAGGCGACGTCCGTGTGTGCCGGACGTCTCTTAAATAGAGATTATACCCGAAGGTGGTGCCCGCGCCGCCATTACGGGCAGGCGCTAGGAGGGGTCCGGATGTCTTAATAACAGCAGTTCCCGGATCACTCCTATTACAGGCGCAGAGTGGCACACCGTGTGGTTTTAGTCGGTCCGATTCCGACACACCAAAACATTCAACACTTAAAAAAAAAGCATAACCACATTGTTGATTTTTGACCTTTAATTCGTGAGTTTTGTTGTGCGAATATTTGAAATTAACATTAAATTACGTACATAATGTATGAACCCACCTTGATACCTACTTTTACGGATTTTACTGCATTTAATTTTGCTTAATAATCAAGGGAAAAAATGGTTACCTACCTAATTATTTTTAAATAGAAAATACAAACAGTAATTTGATAAAAATGTGTAAACATTTATTAGTAGAAGTTGTTCACTCTAACAAGATAAGTAGGTACGTAATGTTGGGTGAATAAAACTATTTTTTTACCTCTTTATAACAAATTTTAGACCAACCTATATACCAACAACTTTAGACCAACTTCAATATAAGAAACCTCAGTTTAACGAATTACTTGATATAACGAATATTTACTTGTTCCTTTCCTATTTGTTATATCGAGGTTGCATTGTAATATGTTCCAAAGGGAACATAACAAGCATTCCATACATGAATAGGCGAGAGCTGTCGGCCTGTCTAGATTCCTCAAGATATTGCAAGGGCGTAACTTGTCTTTTCTGATGAATCTGAAACATATTTGACATTGCTTTTAATATAACATAGCTGAGACATAATAGCAGCTTTAATACTCTTATAATAAAAGTAATAAAAGAAAACAAAGTATGTGGGAGGTATATTAAACGCTGACATGAAACCTCAGTAGCTTATAATTTTTTATTAAAATATTTTGTTAGTCTCCGCCGACGCAAAGCACCCATGGTTATAAATTAAAAAGACTGTAACCGTAGTTATGTATAGTACATTACACATATTCTTTAAAACCTGTCCATTTACACTAGCCTATTTTGACCTGTACCTATGTATTAAACGAATCTTTTAGTGTATTTAACATACTTACACAATTATATTGTAAATTAAATGTTACAAATAGCTCTATTTGAGCTATTTCGAAAGCTACAGTTATTTTACAAATATAAAAAAGCGTAGGTAAGATCTCAACATCACAATCTCAAGACCCATCCGGTCTTGAGATTGTGAAATTATTGGAGACTAGTGGAGGGTACAAAGAAGTATAACATGTGGACGTTTTTCAAAACTAGACACTATGATTTACTAACGAAAACTTCACTAACTACACTTAACTTATAAGAAGTAAAGAGTTCAATTAAACACAGGCTGCAATAAACCTCGGTGCTATTTTTTTATCAGCAGCCAATGTTATGTATTACTTAGGTAACAGAATCACTCGACACGCAACATCTTTTATAGTAAACTGTTTCCTGCCACGCTTCGCTATGGCATATTGAAATTGTATTAATGAAAAATGAGAAAAAAAAAATGATTTTGAAACGTTTTGAATATCGTGTGAAAATTTGAGCTCAATCTGTAGATCTTTTTGAGTTTTTGAAGCGTACACAAACCAACTTAACATTTTTATATATAGATAAAATGGGATTAAAATGTATCCACAAGGACTATTCCGATAATAAAATATTAGAATCCTAAATAACATTATGAAAGTATGTTTTATCAGAACCACTCAAAAGAACCATTTAATTTTTATACAAATTGTAAAAGGTACAGAAAAGGATAAAGGGGCAGACAAAAGCTGGTATTAATATTAATCTGTTTACGATTTTATATAGAATTATGACAAGACAGTAGCTTATTTCTACTGAAATGATAAAGCTGCTTTTTTTGGTCGATTATTTGTTCAAACGCTCTAATCTTTGGAAATACCAACCAGATTCAAATTGAATTACTCTTGAGCCAAAGTCATTGTGACATGTAAAAAAACGTAAGTAATCATAAGCGGTTATTATTCTCTATTGTTCTCAGGTGGAGAATGTCGCAAACGTTTGTACACATGCATTATGTGTGGCGCCCGCGTCGCTTGGAGCTCGGGAGCTGCTCACGCGCAGCGTCAACGCGCCACAAGCGATTGCTGCTGTTGTTTATGGACTTGCCCTTTGCCTCCTCTTCGCGGTGTCCACCACCTTCCACTCAGTGTGTTGCTGCAAATCAGATACGTGAGTAATAAATAACTTTATTGGCATACTTGTTTCTAACTACAACCTGTACTACCTTAACGTATTTTTCACCTAATTAAAAATCTTGTGCTGAGCAATCATACTAATAAGAAAATTAGAGATAAAGGACATTTACGTTTCTTAGATAGTTTAGAAGATATATACCAGAAATAGATATAAACCAGTCAACGCTAATATTCATAACATTAAGTTCTAAAATTGGTAGAATATTTTTTACCGGTTCCCGTAACGATGCTATTGACTAAATATATGGCTAACCCGAAAGTTGTAAAGAAAATTCAAAAACTGAAAGATACATCTTCGTAAAAAGTACAATAATTAGTGACCGGGTGGGTCGATTGGTTGATGAATAGTTTATCACTTTCATCTATTATGAACCTAATATACGCCTGACCTCGATTATAGTTTATTGAGTTTTAAATTTTTGAAGATCATTCTGAATGTTTTATGCCTGAAAGACGAATGCAATAAAACATCTGCTATCTCGTAAGTTTACTGTCCATTTTTATTATATTTCAAAGAAATAAATATTTCTTAGTGCTCACACACGTTACATATAATATTGTACTTATTTAAGAAACTCTAAATTCGCCGATATTACTATGCGTTTGTGTTCGGAAAGACGGCTTATGGATGTACTAGATACTCGTATAATATTAACGATTTATAAAAAGACATGGATTTATAATAGGATAAAAATACACAAGAAACGACGCTTTTATTTCTGCTAATCAGAACGAAACTTCGAAAATTGGAGATAGGTAAACCTGAAATTTTTGAAGATATACCACTTGAGCGTATCGTCGCAAAATTTCTAGGAAGTAATAAAAATATTTTACTACCTAAGGATTCTAAGGATCAGGAGACGTTGCTAGTATTTCTAAACATTATTTCCTCTTTTCCTCAAAATGCTTAGCCTACAGTATAGTATACTTTAGGCTAAGCATTTTGAGGAAGAGAGGAATTTCACTAATATTTATTACGAAACAGGTAGTGGGCCCAGTACACTACTTTATATAAATACTCTCTAGATTGTTTGAGAAAAAAGTTGTTAATTGTATGCGTGAATCTGTAACATTTATAAAACTAAATTGAAAATGGCTACGTTAAATGAACTGCGTAATAAAGTAAATACCGGTCTAATTAGGCAAGCCTTTTAGTTTGGTTGACTTTAGGACTAAGACACTTACGCTTATAAATTGTATTGAGCAAATAACGTCCTCTGAATAGTTTATTTTCGTTCTGCCTCCAATATCTGTATAGTCATTTGGTTTGAAAAAAAAAGAGGTTCCTGGCAAGTTTGCCGGGAGTTTTGATAATACATAATTGATATGTTTATATATTTCGATGTGCCCTTTCCGAATTTCAACCTCGTATCTTCGCCGCTTCCGCTGCCTTATAACACTGAATTGTACAAAGTTATGAGTGTTATGACACTACGTTTTCTAATGTCACATACATTTTTACTGATGTTATTAAAGCGATTTCTTTTTTACATTTACTTATAACAATGTAGTTAAGTGTTAACTCTTTTGTTTCTAAAATATTTACATACTTGAACTAATTCTGAAGTTGAAGTGCGCTGTGAAGCTATTGCATGCATAATACAAACTAATTAATTAAAACAGTTTATACGGGAAGCGCGCTTGAAAAAGCTGAATATATATATATATATATAGTCAGTTTAAAAATAACTCGGATAATAATCGCCAATAAGGCTGTGAAGATGTGAACATACCTCTGTAATAGTCTTTAGGCAATAATTAAAATATGGTCAACAATGAAAAAGTTTTTTTGCAAGTGATTTGTTAGATATAGTATATTTTTAATCACATCAGTAACCGAGTAGGTTGTCACATTGCAAAGTTAAGCAATCCTAGCCAGGTCAATCTATAGATGGGTGACCATTATTAATACATTGAGACCCCACCGTGCCTCCGGGAACACGTTAAGCATGCCATACGAACATCTTCTGTGGCAATCGTTACGGGTAGTTGGAGCCCTAAAAAGTCCGACAACATTCTTTCTACAGAACTTCGATATCGCCTAGTACTTGGGTTGTGGAGGTCTGAGCCGTGTCGTAGTCGACTGAAAGTAGGCCCCAATGTAGTTTGGGCAAAGGCTAGTACAAAGAAGAATAATCTTAAAGAAGAATAAATTAATAATATATAATTATACTTGTCTATTATTTGATATTGTATATATATGTACATGTAAACATGTGTATATCTCGGCACGCGCATAACATATTATGATTAGCTAAATAAATTGTATCTGCATTAGAGAAAGAAGTACTAAAATAGACGTTGAATATCGGCCAGTTTACAAACTCCATATTTTTTATAATAGTATGTTAATTTTTAAAGAAAGTAAGAAAGTAACTTTTTTTTTTCTAAAGAAAATTGTCTGAAAAATGCTGCCTTTTTGTTTGTATCTTCGCAAAATCAGAGAACCTAGTCGTCACTGAATGGTAGAGTATTGTATGAAAATAAGATTCTATCCATTATTGTTTACTATAGGATTATTTCCAAGGCTTAAGTGGATACGCCATCACGCAACTTGACGTATACAAATTTAGAGATAAAGTTATAAATACTCTCACGAAAATTAAAAACCATTAGAAGGTTACACGGTAACGCAGTTCAGTTGGAAGTTAGTCGTTACAATGTACGTATAAATTGCGGTATATTCAATGTAGCCTTATTCCTGGTTCAAACGACCACTAATTACTTTTTGTGGCGATAAAGCCAAGAAAAGCTTGTTAATTGACTATCGATCGACGATCATAGTAAAGTATCTCGTGAGTTAAGTAATAAGTTGTTTTAAGTAAACATTTTCTTTAACAGTAATTAGTTTTGGGTGCCTTATTATTACAAAAGTATTTAACTCATTGTAACGAAATAATTTGTCCTCTTAAATTTCGTTGATGTTCAAATATCTGGGTACGAAGCCTCTGCTCTCTACTTAAGTTTTTTTTATTTTTATTAATAAGTATAAAATAGAATAATGAAAACAATATTAATGTATTCATTAATGTTGGATCATTAATCTATTTGACACATACATCTTGTTAGTAATAATTAAATAAATAAATAATAATTAAAGGTCCATGGCTACCATTTTCGGATTTATTTCGAAAGAATTGTACTGTAATTTCTATAACACATATCATTTTGTAGCTAAATTTTCGTGTGTAGTTAGCCTAAAATATAAATGTTTCACATCTCCTTTTAGCGTTTACATTGCTACTAAATAATTGCCTTCAAAGAATTAGGTTGTAACATAGTCTATCAGGTGCTGTTACAAAAAATAGATTGCTCGAAGCTAACTTTTCAAGACATTAGCGTAATAAACTATATAAATAAAAATGTAATGTTGGTTTGTGAACGCTTCAAAAATTTAGAGTTCTGTACCGATTGAGCTCTTTGGATACGATGTATAATCTTCTTCAAAGCTTATATATGTTTCGCGTCAGTTTTGTTCTTCATTTCTCATCAATGTGCAGTAACCACAATGTGCAACAGCGAAGCGTGTCAGGGTACAACTAGTTCTTTTTTAAATTGAAAGTGAGGAATGAATAGTCTCACAAGAACTCTTGATGAGTTTGATAATAAATTAAATTAGTACGATTTTTCAAAAAACTCAGTTTATTAAAAGAAACCACTTTCTTGGTCAGTAGGTAGGTACGTGCCTTTCAAATTGTTTTATCAAATAATTTGTTAACATTACATTCAAATGCCTATAACACCTGTTTTATCAAATTAGAAAAATAATAAAAAAAATATCATTATTAGTATCTGCCTGTAAAATAAAAATAAAATAATTATCTGGCTCATTACAAATACTGCATGCCAAAACACAAAGCTTATAAAGAAAAATGAGATGAAGTTATTGTATTATTTTTATAATATTTTTCCTTTTAAATGAAGTTCGGTACACATGATGCTCTATACACCTAGAGTTCAAAGAATTGCAATATTATATAATTATGGTAATTAGGAGTGTGCTCTTACCAGATAAACTATTCAACAATTCATGATAAAAGTCGAATTTATATAATCGATAATTTGCCTTTATTAATCTGGAACGCTGATGTCTGTACTTTTCTGGAGGTGGGCGATAATAGTTTATAACTAATGTGGTTATTTTCGAACACAAGCAAATTTGTATAGTAGTTTCTTGTTCTAATAAAGATGATTATTGTTTTTTTATTATATTTATTTTAACCGTTATAACTAAAGTAAAAAAAAATCGAATTCCTGGAGTCTGCGAAAGCCGTTGTTTCAGCGTAAATATCTTTTCCTTATCAAGAGATAACGGAATAAAGACTGTTATTTGTAGTCAGTTGTCAGTGTGCCTTAGTGTGTGGTATTATGTTAGCTAATTTTCACACAAGGGTTGTGAAAATCCAATCTCACTTAACATCAGTATCACCATAAAATATAGATGTGTAATAATTTTCGCTGTGTGTGTTCCGCTTTTTCATAGAACAACTATAGTGACAGGACTGAACAAACTGAACTGAATTGTAAAACAAGAAATACAATGAGTAGTGTATGTGTGTCTGCCGATTTTAGTCGACAGTCATCTTCCAAAACAAAAAAAAATCCTTAATAGGCGACCACAAAATAAACTGTTCTCAGTTTTGTAGTATTAAGATAGATAATATATTTATAAATCTTGTCTTAATGACCTATGTCCCGTAGTTAAGGCGCAATTAAAACCTCCAATGCGATCGGTTTTGAGCTTCCTCACTGCCACAAAATCCGGAGGCCGAGGATCGAGCTTTGGCAATCTTTGGAAGTCTTCTACAGTGCCTCCACTTTTTGACATGATCACATCCTTTGCATCAATAAAAAGCGGCGTGCAATTCCCTACTTCACATCGCATGTCTTGGGACTTTCGGATGTTTATTCTCAGCCTCGTGATACCAGGCGGTCGGAATAATCCAAGTCTTCTAAGGCGTCGGTTATCCCCAC